GCTCTTCCTCCCTTCCCTTCTGCGTACTGGGTACCAGGAGAATATATTGCCACTGTGTCCTTTTTTTCCTTGGGTCTGTTTAATTCATTACCAGAAACTTCTTTTAATTAAATGGGATTGAGTTATGGTGCCCAGAGCCTGACATGGGCCCCTGTTCTGTTCAGTCTTGATGGCAATAGAGAACCTCACAGTGGTTCCTGACCTCAGTAGCACCCCCGCTGAGGGCTGGGGGCACAGGGGCAGATTCCTGACGGGAATCTGCACTCACCAGAGCCCTCATTTCACTTTGTGCTCCTTTCCCCTTCCGATTTGGGGCACTGGACCTGTCAGACCTGGACCTGCCTTCCTTCCTTGCCAGATCGAGGGAAGTTGGAGGATTTCCTGTGGTGGCTGAAGACTAGATTTAGATATCCATCATGCCAGAGGTGTCATCACCCTCCAGATTATTGGCAGTTGCATGACCTACCAGCTCGTAATTAAACTCCTGCCTGGTCCTGCAGAAGAGATCACTGCTGGGTTGGCACTCCTCTGTTTAAATTATCAAAGTAGATGTAATCTGGGTATATATTTTAGCATATTATATTTTTGCAGTTAAGTAATTGAGTGTAGCCTTTAGATTAAATCATTTTTAGGGCTTCAATCCCATCAAGAGGCAGAAAAGACACAGATCTCAGTGATATTCCTCCATGGAAGAAAGCATTTGTTAGTTGCCTGGAGAAGGCTAGAAGACAGTGGTTCTCAAATCCAGTGCGTTACCAGCACTGCCTGCAGAGCCTATTTAGAACGCAGCCACCCAGGAACCACGCCAGTAGGTTCTGATTTAGTAACTTGCAGTGTGACCTAAGCACCCAATTTGTGTTAATCCCCTTTATTCCAGTGTCTGCTAAATTGGGGAACAAATATAAGGAATGACATACTTAAAAGGAACAGTAAAAAATCTAAAGGCCAGCAAGTGTCTATAATATGGCTCAAGTTTTTGAGATGAAACTGATTAAACAGGGGCTTAAAGAACAAAAACTCGGCCTGCGGACTGGGCACATATGCCACTTGGCCTCATTTATGGTTGGGTATTTAATTGTTTTGTCAAATCCAGCAGTGCTGGGCTACATGGTCTCCTCTTTTCAACTCGTTAGCCTACAGCTTAGGAAGAAGGGAGAACATGGTGGTGCAGGGGAAAGGAGTAAAGCCGTGCCCGCCCCGCTTCCCACCATTCCTGTCATCCCAGTGAGGCCTCGATGGCTTGCAGAGGCAAGATGGTTGCCAGAAGGAGTGGTGAGAAAATCGCCTGCTACTCTTGGGCCCTTGCCTCAAGGCAGCCAGATTCCGTCTGCCTTTAGATAAACATCTTCTTCCTAATCCTCTCACTCCAGCCAGTCAACCAGTAAAAATTTCATTGTTCTAGCATCTTTCTTCCTAAGAGCTCAGAATGCTTTGAAAAGTAACATTTTATAAATTCTCCATGTCTCTGAGAAATGAAAGGCAGTCACTTACACGTTGCATAGGGGGATAAACTGGAGTGGAGAGGTTAGAGAAAGAGCTAGAAATAGGATTCAGATTTCCCTTACATTCACACCAAGACACTCACTGTGTCCAGGAGGGCTGTGATTCAGGCATCAAACGGTAAAGGATGTAACACACCCAACCTAGGAGGGAATGAAACAGATGCACAGCTACCACCTTTCTGTTGCCTCTTAAGGTCATTCAGTCAAAAAGTAATGTAATTATCACACATCTGTGAGAGCGAGGCCAAGTTCCAAACATTAGGGATCCAGAGCAGATGTGGGCCCCACCATTTCAATACGACTGTATTGACAGTCGAGCAGGAGAGTCTTTTGTCGTATTCTTAGACCCACTCAACGGTTCTGTGTAAAAACTGCACATGTAGGTTTTATAGAGGTTTCCCTCTCTCTCACTGTGGCCCCAGAGATCTAGAACTATGATACTTTCCTGAACAGAGAGGCACACTGCCTGCCCCCGTGAGATACTTCCTGAGTCCCCGTCCCCAGCACAGCACTTTCAGACCTTGTCCCTCAAAGCTCTGGGTTCTCAGGGGCCGGGGTGTGTGTGTGGGGGGGGGGGGGGGTTCAGGTGGTAATGCGAGCGATGGGGAGGTGGGGGGGGGGGGCAGAGTTGGGCATGAGGCCTCCCCTTCAAACAAAGGATTCTGCATTTAATCCCTACCAATTTGGGGATCCTTCACTTAAAAAGTCAATTGATAAAAAGGATTTTGCTGTTTTCAAAAAATGTTTGAAAGTTGCAGGCTCACAGAATAAAATTCAGACTCCTCAGCACAGCCTTTACAGACCTTGAGTCCTCCAAGCTCATAGCCCATAATTTCTCATCCTGAACTTGAGCTGTGGTCACTGTGACCACAGTGGTCACTGTGACCTACTGGCACACGAACACACCTTGAATTTTGTGCTTCCGCTTTTCCCATTGCCAGGAATACACCTCCACCCTGACCCTCTCTTTAATTCATGGACACCTCAGTTTCCTCACACCAGCCCACTCATTTTTCAAGATCCAGCTCCAGTGTCAGACTCTCTCTGTAATTTTGCCCCCAGGCGTTTGCACACACCTGTGGTAAAGCAGCTCACACACTGAGCTGTGTTTACTTGAGGTCTGACCCTGTCTCCCACCCCCATCTCCATGCTGAACTCATTGACCAGAGACTGGTTTCTGTATTTTCGTTCCCTAGCACAGTGCCTGCAGGGTTGTCCTCAGTGAGTGTCTTGAAATAGAACTTAACGAGGCCAGAATTGAGAAACCAAAAGTTATTCACATAATTTATGTTGTAAAGTGCCCAAAACAAAGATGTATTAAGTGAATCAGCTTGATGCTATTATTTTTTTTTATGATTTCCAGTATCTTCATCAAATTAATTCATTGACTTAATCTAAAAAGTTCATCTTCAAGAACATCATCAGGCCACAGAATTAATCTATGCGGCTGCTGCTTCCTCTTTTTTTAAAGGATTGATGGTAGCCCTTTTTATCTTTTGTGTCTGTTGAACCTTAGAAAAAAGTTATTTTAACAGCACTAAAGAAATGAAAGTCACTATATTTCATAAGTTTAGCCTGTGATTTTTATCAGCATAGTGATGTATGTTTGTAGCTGAGTTTACGTCAAAAATTCTTGGGGCCTTCTTAAACGAATTATGGCAAAGAGAGAGAGTCTAGAAGTAGATAAGGTTTTTGATTTCTGCAGTATATTTCCTTTTTCATGTTTTTATCTCTCATAACACAAGTGTCTTGCCGAAGACTGGAACGTGTGACCAACTGGAATAATTTAGTTGTGAAAACAGAGCAGACATGTTATTAAACAGCCTTCTTTACAAAAAGGCATTAAGTGTTGGGAGGATAATGAAGTTGTCCCCAGTCTTACTTGAGACATGTTTGTCAGAATTTTGAACAGAAAAGAAACGGTTTTTAAAACCTCAAATATGGCCAGTTTGCAGTGTTTATTGAAAAAGCCGCTGTCAAACCATTAATTTGGTCGTCATAAAGAACACAACTCAAGTTTAATTGATGCTGTATCCAAAAAGTATGTGAATAGCTGACTTGGCAAAGGGACTGAGCATTAGAGCGCCTGCAGTGAAACACATAATTACATATATTGTGGAATCAGAAAGACCCAGACTAGCCATACTCCATAAATAGCAATTCTATGGCTCTCTTTCCTTCCCCTAACTTCTACCTCATAGGCCATGTTCTCATAGGAAAGATTTATTGCTCTGTCCCTGTGAGTGTTTAAGACCTGGAACTTAATGACTAAATAGATACATGCCTTTAAAAAAATTGTACATATAAATATGGACTCTTACAAAAGTTAGTTGAGAAAATCAGTGTGTCAACAGCCCTGAGAAATTAAGAACACATTCTGCCTTTCTAGATTAAAAAAAAAAAAAAGCTGTATGCTGCCATTATTATTCAAATCAGTGATTTCTAAGTCTGATTTTGCCACTCCTTAGGGTATCTTTTGCTGTTTGAAGGATGTCACAAGCCTCTAAAAGATGAATTAATTCTAATTTCATTTGAACTGAACAAAGACGTATACATCATATAGGAGAATGTTTCCATCAGAAACGACCATGGTTAAATTGTCTCAGAAATAATTCTCCATCCTTATACAGGTCTAGATGTAGGCTTTAAATGCAGTGGACACTCTTTTTAAGTACTAGCCTCAAATTCCAACACTGAAACAAAAGAAAGGGACCTTTCTGTGAAATTAGCACCCGTCGGGGACTCCTGGGCTGTATTTAAATAAAGTACCAGACTTAAGCCTGCCAGGTCTGGTTTTATCGTAAGAAGGTCGTGCAGGTTTAGCGTCTTTAAAGGAAGCAGCCTATCATTAAGAAATCATATTTAAACTTTAATAAAGTAGCTGTCGTCTTTATAGCTGAAAAGAGCTCTGTGTCTCAATTAAGTATAGATGATCTAAAATCTTAAGGAAGTAGCAATAGAGGTAACCTGATTACATTCTCTTGCAATAGTATAATTTAAAGGAAATCGGATTCTGTTGATGCTGGTTGTGTTGGTGGGGGATTGTTTGTTTGTTTGTTTTGGTCCAAAACACTGTTTGGATTCAGGGCAGGAGCTCTTTGAGACTGAGTTAACCACAACTGCAGGAGACTCTTAAGCCCTTGTGAATAGAACCTGCTGGATATTTGAGATGAGATTCAGTTAAGGTTATGAGTTAAATTAGCTGGGTTTATTGGTGACCTCCCACTTAAATGAATCTTTCTTTTCATAAGTACTTGACAAGATCTGTAAAGTAGTGTATTTAATTTACTAATTAAATTAAAGCTACTGAATAATGGTTTGTCCACATTGATTTAGCTTAAATAGAAAAGACCAGCATTGTTGTGATCTTCAGCAACCTTAATGGCCGCCAGTTAGACACAAAGGCCTCTTGTGTTTTATAGGTCAGAAGGACATAGGTAAGCCCAGGC